AAGCAGATTTTTTTTTTGTTTTCTCGTTAGTGATGCAAAATCTCCAAGTACTCACTTGTCATTTTTGGGACTGAGTCATCCTTGTGAGCATGTTTTAGGTTTGGTGCATGTCTTTGCTAGAACAATTTGTTGGAGGTCCAACTTCATTTTAAAATGCTGATGCTCTCTGGAGAAGGCCAAAACACTGGTGCAGGTAAAGAATAATTCATCAAACCCCAATTTTATTGCCCTTCGGTTTCGAAGGACAGCTTTGCTACTCAAATATTACAGTTTGCTAGTGTGGCAATACTGGCAAAGCATGTTTAGACCAGCCCTTAATGGCTAATCTGGAGCAAAATCATTAATTTGGGAAGACAGCTCCTTTCCAAAAGACAAGTGTCTCCCTCTTGTCTGGTTCCTGACACCCTGCAGTGTAAATAGGTCAGTGAACTGCGTTTGCACCGTGGTGACGTGAGAGCAGGTAAAAGTTTTGTGTTGCAAAGCATCAAACCCAAAACGTCTGTCTCTTGTTTCCCAGATTTTTTGATGGCTGTTCACTGTAAATATCAACAACCTGCTTGTGGTGAGTGTGGTCTGGAGCATTCTGGTAGGCACAGTCTTTGCAGACAGGTGTTTTCTTTATTTGTTGAGGTTGCAATATACCAGCACGCTGAGGATTAAAGCTTTCCAGGAGTTGTGCTCTTGTTCTCTGTATAACTTATGTGACCATTACAAAAACACATCAGTTGTCTTTTCTTAGTAGTTTACAGATAAGGCAGAGATTTCAAAGATGAAAATATTCCCACAAAATTATGTCTGACTCAGGAAAGCAAGTGGTGGTGGTGATGGTCAAGTTCTTAACTTGAATTTTCATTTTGTTTGTTGTTTTGTCTAGTTGATTATTTAAAAGAGATTAGTCCCCTCCTATAAAGTTTCAACTGTAAAAAGTAAGAAAACCAAGTTTTCAGGCACATGGATTTTTGTTTTTCAATCTGCTTCTTATAAATCTTAACTGTCCCACAACAGTGATTTCACAGGTATTGGCTGTAAGGTCAGAAGTATTGGGTGTCCTTTGATTTGTTTTGCTCTTTTAAAATAACAGTAAGTTAGAAGTTCCATCCTAATTTTAACAAGAACTGTGGACAGTCTTAATTTACCTGTTGTTTTGCTTTTTGCTTGTGGGTTTGTTTTTTTTTTTATTATTTGAACCTGTTTGATGTCATTAGTGGTAAATTGTTGTTCCTAGCAGTATCAACACCACTTCTTGGGCCTGTGTTTTCATTTTGAGGATTCACCTTGCTTATACTGCTTCCCTATACAGAAGAGGTACTGGAATTTTTATCCTCATTCTGCCTCATGCAGAGCGTTTCAGATGACTCATTAGGATTGTATTCCTTAAGTGATGTGGAACAGCAGATTCTAAATTTGTCACACAGACAACATCAAAACACAACATCAACCCATTTGTTCTTATGCCACTGGCTCAAGGTGTTGTGTGTGCCAGCAGTTTTCCTGACGAGGCACAAGATGCTGGGATGGATGTTGAGAACAGTTTTATATTACTGGAAGCAATTTCAACTTACAATCATGATCCTAATTAAAAAATGGAAATTATTATTTTAAAACGTGTATGGAGTCAAGTTGCTCAAAATTAAATTACTTGAGAAAACAGGATGAAGAAGTTGCCTTGTTTCATTTCCTCCAGCTCTGTCTTGCCTGTGCTCTGCTCCCAACTCATGGGGCTTTTGGTTGTCTGGGAGGGTTGTTTCCTTCTAGATCTCCATGTTCTGGTCTTCCATCTGAATTAAGGAAGACTGAAGCAGCCTTTTCAGCTGTGGTTTGGCAGCTTGGAGTGCTTTTAAAGTAATTAGAAATGTTGTCCGCAGTAGGAAGCTGTCACATGCCTGTGTTAGAAGCAGCTGTGCTGCAGCTGGCCCATCTCTGCACCTTGGGCTGCTGGTTGCCACTTCCAGCTCTCACAGGCTGAATAAATCACCCTGAGGAAGAGCGTGGCAGAAAGAAGGCATCCTCCTTCTGGGATGCTGACAGATTGCTGCTTAAGCATAGCTGGTAACTTACTTTCTAAAGGGAAATTTGAGAGAGCACAAGGGTTAAGTATTTCTCCATGTGCTGCCCATTGTCTTTCTGAACTGGGAACAAATATGTTTGGAAACTTTCTCGTTCTGTCTCTGGTGTTATGACAGGGATGCCCAGGCCTCAGTTTGCGGGTGAGGTGTGGGTGCAGGTCACAGCTGGTGCTGGGTGATGCAAGAGGAGAGGTGGCTCCTTGCCCTCTGCTTGCACACCTCCTACTTTTCTCTCCTCCTTCAGCTTTCTTTTCATTTGGACTCATTATTTTTTTTTCTTAAACTTTTCCAGCCCCAAACCTGGTTATAATATGTCCTTGCATCATATTTTTCCTCCCCTCTTCCAACAGCCAGTAGCTGTCCTGCAGTTTTGATGTAAGTGACAAGGAGTACATCCAGCTGTCTTTGGGAATTGCTCTCTTGGCATAGCTCAGAAGTACTTGTACTGAAATAAATAACCTTATATTTTATTAACCAACAAATTAAAATAATGTGACAGATGCATCACTATTGCTTCCCATGACAGGTGATATGAACAAAATTTAATCTGAACTAGGAAGGATTTGCATAAGGTGAATGTTTGCCTAGATACAAGTGTCTGTAACTTTGAAGTAATTTGATTTGTTCTCAAGGTTATTTTTCTGCTTTGGCTCCGTGTTTTTCCCTTGTGTTAGGGCCTAGGTCATTTCTTTTCAGCTCACGAGCTGTTGATGCCTGAAGAAGCACACAGCAGTTAGAGCATCTACCCTGATAAGACCCAAAAACTCTGAACAACAGTTTCTTGTTACCAGGAGGCGTCAGTGTAAAGTCCATGCAATAAGGTGATTTAGCTTGGGTGTGTACAGGTGATGCTAAGATGAAAGTTAGTGATAAATAGCATGAGTCCTTTCCCTAATCTCCCCATTAGTGCTGGCATCAACATGCTTATTATATGCCTTGGACCTGTTTTAAGCCCCTCAATATGTTGGACACCCCAGGTTCTGTGTAGATACTGCTGTGTATTTGATCATGACAGCTACTTACGGGTTCCTGACTCAGGTGAGATCAGGGATCACCCAACTGCTTTTTTCTGCTGAAGGAAGCAGAAACCTTGTGAACCTTGATACATTTTATGTTAAATTAAAAGAAAACACAGTTTCATCCTAGGAATCCAGAAGTGCCTTTTGTTGCAAAGCAAGAATCCCAGAACTCAAGTGGAGGTAGTTTGGATAGATTTGAAAATGTGTGTAAAGAAGCCCTTGCTCTGTTAGAAGTGTAAAGGCATGTTGCCCTGTGTGTATATGCTCTGTAGCTCGTTTGGAGCTTGTAGACATAGAAAAGGCACACTGCACATGGGCAAGGATGGCTCGGGCTGAGGTACACGTTGTGTGTTCTGCTGGAAATGTACATTTGGGGCAGGAATTTTCAGCTGACAGGCTGTAAATCAGTGCCTGCTCTTGCAGCATACGCTTTAATGGGAGTCACATAACTTTCCTAATCTCCTTCCAGGTGTTAGGAAAGAAACAATTTCCTAACCCACACCACGTTGTTGTTGTTGTTATTTGTATTGTAACTTGTGCCAGGTGCTGTACAGCCAGGGTGAGGCAGCTCCAGCCCTGGTGCATGGGCACTGCTATCTCGGGGTGTTCTGCAGAGTGGAAAAGGAATGTGAAGGCAACACCACAAGTATGATAAACTAGAGGGCTAAAATTACTGCCCTTATTCACACTTAAAAATAGCTCCTTACAGGCTAAGGTTTTATTTGATGTGAGTTACAGCTTAATTTGTGAGAAACTTAATTTATTCCGATATGAGTAAGTGAGGCAGAATCTGCCCTTAGCTAAGACCTATTTATGTATTTGCTTAGCATGAGTGTGGATAGCAGGAGGCTGGACACTTTCTGCTTAGCAAAGCCACAGCTTTTCACATTAAGCAACTGATTCTATCTAAGGATATATTCAAATGAATGTTAGAAAGTTTTAAAAGCTTTTATTTTAGTGTGCTGTGGTAGATGTAGGTCACTATATATACACAGAAGTAGGGAAACAAACTTTCTTGTCTTTATATAATGTATTCTTCATTGACCAAAATGTGGAAAAATATGTTAAAAACTGATCTTTTATTAGCTCTTGTGGCTGTTTGCACCAAATTGGTGGATGCTGCTCCCTTTTGAACACTTAAAGTTGTCTCTCCTGGAAGAAGTGTTTGCACTGACAGCTGGTGGAAAGCAAAGTGTCTGCTGTGCTATTATTACTTCCTCACCTTTCCCCCTAGTCTCCACCATGCTATTCACAGGCACATCACAGTGCTCCTGGTATGTTTAAAGAAATGGCTTGTAAGTGAAGTGTCCACTGATGTAGATGAATATTTAAAGCTCTGCCGAGCAGCACATGGGCTGTTCTGTGCAAGTGTGAGTGCATGGCTTGGTTACAGCCAGGCACAGCATTAGGCTGAAAACATCATGAACTACACAAAATGGTAATGCAATCCAAATGTTTGTGCTGCCAGTAAATATTCTGATCACATCTGCTAACTCTAATTATTTCTTTCTTGGTAAAAAAAGTTTTGGTTTTGTTTTGCTTTGGATTTTTTTCCACCTTTATCAAAGCAAATTCTTGTGTTTCATCTGTCAGCAGAGCTGCTCTTCTGTTGGAAGGTCTGAATGAAGTTTTTGAATGCTTGTGATGAATGAGCTGGGATAAAACATTGGCTCTTTGATGGCCTGGGTAGTTTGCAAGGCTGACAGATTCGTTCAGTTTGGAAATGTGATGAGCAGTATCAGAGGCCATACCTACGTGCTAATTCAAGGGACAGTTTTTCCATCACATTGAAAGGTTTTAACATCTCTGTTGCAGCTCAGGACATCCGTATTCTAAGATCTCAGATTCTTCAGAAACTAACAGCAACCAGTGCCCAGATTTTGAACTTTGCTCTTTTCCTTTTCTCTTCTCTTAGAACAAAATTGAATTACAATCCTCCAAAGGATGATGGTTCAACATACAAGATTGAACTCGAAGGGATATCTGTTGATATCATGAAAGAGATACTAGACTACATCTTCAGTGGGCAGGTATGGTATTAAAAACCCCTAAACCTCACTTGGACTATTTGGCAAAATAACTTGAGTTTTAACACTGCTGTCCTGAAAGATGTTTAAAACTTTGTCATAGAGCTTCTGCAGAGTGGGACTGTGCATGTGAAGTAGAGCAGTAGGCTCTGCAGGAGTTGTCTCCTGTTCTTGTGTAGCAGGCAAGGACTTTACAATTTAGAGTCAATGTCAAACCCTTGTATTAAAATTGGTGGCTACCTTCAGTAACCTGCTTTAAAACAGGCAGTGTTTGTTATCTGTGACAGAGGACTGCTTTGGTAGCCACAGAGATGGAGACCCCATTACTGGGGATTACAGTACACCAGGCAGCTTCCCTCCCTCCCCCTTGTGCCCACCTCTCTGGCCTCTTGTCAGATCTGCCTGCCAGGAGCCTTAGCAGGAATTAAAGTTGGTGTGTCCAGTTTATTTGGAACCAGAATAAGATTGGTGAACAAGTTTAGCTTTCAGCAGAAAAAGAAAAGGAAGATTTGGCTTGAAATTCATTCCTGCATGTATGTTTAAAAAAATTATTTATTTATTACAGCAAAACTCATTTTAGGTTCCTGGATGAGATGAGCAATTTTATGGTTGGTTACTTCATGAATTTATCAAAATTTCTGCTCCACACCTTCTGTCAAGCAAATGCCTTTCCAACCCTGCGTTAATTAATTAATGGTTAGCAGTCATATCAGTTTCTCCTGATTCTTACACTGGCATTAATACTCCATTTTTCAGCCACTGAGAATGAGTGTAATGAATGCGGGCATGTCATGGAACAAATGAGTGATAGTAGCTATAACTTCTAAATTAATTCTTGCAGATCAGGCTAAATGAAGAAACTATCCAAGATGTGGTACAGGCAGCTGATCTCCTGCTGCTTACAGACTTAAAAACTCTCTGCTGTGAGTTTTTAGAAGGTTGCATAGCTGCTGAGAACTGTATTGGTATTCGGGACTTTGCACTGCACTATTGTTTGCATCATGTTCACTACCTTGCCTCAGAGTATCTGGAAACTCACTTTCGAGATGTCAGCAGCACAGAGGAATTCTTGGAACTGACTCCTCAAAAACTGAAAGAAGTGCTGTCCATGGAAAAGCTCAATGTTGGAAACGAAAGATACGTCTTTGAAGCGGTGATTAGGTGGATTTCTCATGATTCAGAATCCAGAAAGGTCAGGACATCCAAATGTTTATGTTTTGAACGTGTCACAAATTGGAGTGTTCATTCTAATCAGTGGGAGCTTGAAATAGATCTGTTTCTTTCAGGACTAATCTTATAGAATTTATTGAATTTTGCCTGAAATGCAGACCACAGCATTGCAGTAAAAGGGTGAAAGCTGTGTGGATGGTATATTATCTGCTGCCTTCATTATTTAATAGGCATTAAGAAAAAAAAGCACCATTTTGACATTTGATGATATAATCTTGTTTAGATGATGGGAGAGCAAGCAGCATGTTTATAGAGAAACTTGGAGGACTTGATGCATTTTCTTACTAACGCTCTCTTGTATAGTTTATTCCTTGCCAGTATCAAAAACTCTCAAGTATTTGCTAAGCACAGGAGCATCTGCATGTGCGGGTGGCTGCGTGCTGGGGGTGACTTTGTGTCCGTGCTGCCTCCCCAGGTCCACATGAAGGATGTGATGTCGGCAGTGTGGGTGTCGGGGCTGGACGCGGCGTACCTGCGCGAGCAGATGATGAGCGAGCCGCTGGTGCGCGAGATCGTCAAGGAGTGCAACAACATCCCCCTGACACCCCCGCAGCAGGGAGAGGCCATGCTGGCCTCCTTCAAGCCCCGGGGCTACTCCGAGTGCATCGTGACTGTTGGGGGGGAAGAGAGAGTGTAAGTGTGCAGTGGAATGACAGCTGGTCCCGGTGCAGGCACTCACCACTCTGAAAACACACAGTACAGAGAATCTGTGCACCTATTGCTTGTTGCTCTCATTTGAGTTTGTTTTAGGTTGGTCAGACACACCTAAAATACCTTTGGGGGTGATTCAGCAATAAATAGTTATTTTGTTTCTGACCTTCAACATGTAGTAAACTTTGAGTAGTGTTGTTTGTTCAGTAAGTGTTGGCTTGATTTTTTTTTTTTTAAACTGAATAGTCTTAAACACAGAATAATTTCTGATGATCTGAAAAGCATCTCTAACAAAACTTAGGAGTAAGGAACATGTGCTTTAAACTGTTTTGTTTATAACAGATGTGGTTCCAAAATAAAAGGGTCATTATTGGTGCATCTGAGATAAGGTAAAAATTCCTGTTCCACACAATAATCCCGTTCTTTATTTGAGTACCCCCTGCAGCAAAAGGGAGGGTTCAGTCCTGTTTAAATAAATTAAGCATTTAGATGTTAGCTCTTTATAGAAGCATAGTAAACCACCAGATAACATTTTGCATGTCAGTTTGTGAATCACTTTACTCAGACATTACTAATACTCTCCATCAGTTCTTCTTAGCTCGTTCAAAGTTCATAAAAAAGGTAATAGGCAGATACAGTAGGAATGAAGTGAATCAGCTTTTTATGTCTCCAAGTCTGTACAAACTCAATTTACATGTTTGGTTTGGGGGTCTTCTCCTTACCAGGGAAATGCCACGTGATGAATAGACACGAAAACAAGAACACGCCATCTTTGGACACGAGGTGTTAACAGTGAACTCGTAAAACTCTGTCTTTGTCTCTCTGTTTCTGTCTGTTCCCTCCCCTCCCTGTGTTCAGATCACGGAAACCAACCTCAGTGATGCGGTGTATGTGTCCTCTTTATGATCCCAATAGACAGCTCTGGATTGAACTTGCTCCTATGAGTATTCCAAGGATCAATCATGGAGTATTGTCAGCAGGTAAAGGGGAACTTCATCTTTGTAAAGTCAATGTTATGAAAACTTACCAGTGCCTCAAAATCTGAGATACAGCTTATAATAGCATATTTTTTTCAAGACTGACTGCACTGGGGTTATTTCATGCTTCCCCTTTGTCTGCCCAAAACTGTACTTGATTTTGTGAAAATCCCTGTCATCTGAGTGTCTTAAAATCACTATTCCTGCAATATTTTGTGGGAATCTGCTACATCTGTCTCTCCAGGAGTATTTAATGTTTTAAGTAAATTCTAGTTGCTGCATCACTGAATATGTTGAAGGGTATCTGCAGGGGCAGACTTGAGTCAGATGTAAGTATGTGTTTTACCTTCTCCAGTCCAGAGTCTGACCTGTGACTGGTCTGGATCTCTTGGTGAATTCCAGAATGCAGCTCACCAGTCATGTTGTTTTGCTCAGTGTGCAGGTGTGAGTCCTCTTCTTGAGAGTCCTGTTCTTAAGATCATATTACATTTTGTTTTACAGAAGGATTTTTATTTGTGCTTGGTGGTCAGGATGAAAACAAGGGAACGCTAAGCTCTGGAGAGAAATATGATCCAGACACCAATTCATGGAGTTCCTTACCACCAATGCATGAGGCAAGATCTCTATCTAACTGTTGGGATTTAAGTTTTTACTTTGGCAAAATGTTCCTTTTCTTCTGCAAAATTTATTCTGAATCTCCAGTCGCTTGCATCTTACACATTCAAAATCATGCTGCAGACTGACTTCTGTTTATATCCTGTTGTTCTTGTGGTCTGATGCTGACTGCTGGATCTGGAAAAACTAAACAATTGGTGAAGAGCTAACTGTAAGATGAACTACAAAATTTCAGGAATTTCATAATGAATCAGTCCTATAGTATACTTAATGTTCTGCGTATACTGGCCTTCTAAAACAAGAGACCTCTCAGATGGACAAAGGGATCGGACTGTGCAGAAAAGATGGACAGAGGACTGGCCAACATACAGAACTTGGCTTGCACAGACATATTTAGGTTTGGTTTGAGTTAATGCTTCCTTCTTCATAATTACATTCCATCAAAAAGTAACAGTTTGTTATTTGTAAACATATATCCTTAATACACCTGTGTTTTTATCTTTGTAAGTCAGCACAGGGTGTTTATTAAGAACTTGTTTACCACAGGATTTTCCTCTTTGCAATCTCTGGTTGACAGAGGCATGTAGATTTGACTGCAATTTTAGTTATGATGCATTAAATGCTATGCCTGTGATATGTTTGCTGTGAGACTGAGGGGTAGCTGGGCTCATACATACAAAACAGAAGAGCTGCCTTTGCACAGAGAATGGGTCCAGGCTTTGCTGCTAAAGAGACCTGAAAGCAACAGCTTCATTGTGGAGACCACCACTATGGGAACTGAAATATGGCCAAGCTCTGTTCTTAGATTTTTCTGTGGTCTCTTTGGCTTCTGCTACTCTGCTTTTTTTTTTATTTTTTCCCTTTTGATGCCCTTTGTTTTGTTTAGTTGATTAAATTAATAATCTTATGCTTATGAAGTTTAGGACTTCACCATTTAAAAAAAAAAAGACAAAACAAAAGCCAGGCATAATACCAATAGCACTTTGCAGACAGATACTCTGAAAAATAAGATTGTGTTCATTTATTCACAATGGCAGTCATGTTTTTCAATGTTGACTTTATTGATGTTCCTTAGGCACGACATAATTTTGGTGTGGTAGAGATTGATGGGATTCTGTATATTCTGGGAGGTGAGGATGGTGAAAGGGAGCTGATCTCTATGGAGAGCTATGATATTTATAGCCGGACCTGGACCAAGCAGCCAGACTTGACCATGGTTAGAAAGGTAAAAACTACATCTTATATTATTGTGTTGCTTTTGTTAAATAGTCAGTGCAGATATATGTATGTGTATAGATATCTATATGTATAAAAATACGTATTTAAGCTTTTGCTTCAAGTAGAAGCTGTAGCAAATAGTCTCAAAATGAAATGAGAGTGAGCACCTTCTTCTCTCTTTATACACCAAATAAAACTGTGGCTGAGCATTTTTATGCCTTGCATTGTTTGACATGGGGTATAGGCAACCCAAGCGCCTCTGTGTGTGGATAGACAGCTTTGAGCTCTCAATACTGTGCATTTGTGTGTCATTTCAGATATAATTTTCTTTTTTTTCCCCACAAGATTGGCTGCTATGCAGCTATGAAGAAGAAAATCTATGCAATGGGTGGAGGCTCCTATGGAAAACTCTTTGAATCTGTGGAGTGTTATGACCCCAGGACTCAGCAGTGGACAGCAATCTGTCCTCTCAAAGAGAGGAGGTGAGGGAAAATGGAAGTGGGGGGACTAGACTGCTTTTCCAACCCTCTGATGGGAGCAAAGTGTCCTTTTTCTGATGAATCTGTGAAGATGGCCTATGAATCTCACCAGGTCTTTCTGAGTCGTGGTGGCCTGTCGTTAACATGTGGCTGAGTAAAGACAAGCATCCAAGCAATAAATACAAATGTTGTAGAAATAGCCCTGATGTTGCAAGCACCAGTTCCCTGATGCAAAATGAAAGCTAGAAATTATAGTTCAATTGTAACTTCAGAATATTTTTAGAGAGAAATATTTTTACTGTGGGGTTTTTTTTTGTGATCTGAATTAGGTGCTTACAATTAATATCCGTGACTCATCTTGTTGGTTATTTAAGGCATCTGTGTGTATAAATAAATAAAAAGAGTAAAAGATGAAGAAAGTTCAGAGGGGTATGCAAAAGGGTTTTGATACATGGCATTAATATTTTTTCCTTGTTTGGATTTTCAGATTTGGGGCAGTGGCCTGTGGAGTTGCCTCTGAGCTTTATGTATTTGGTGGGGTCAGAAGTCGTGACGACAGCCAAGCCAGTGAGATGGTGACATGCAAATCAGAATTTTATCACGATGAGTTTAAAAGGTAACTGGCTGCAGCTCTAAACACAGAAAATAACTTGCCATCCAGTCATCTGCCTGCTCCCTCACCCCTTGTTCCTGCACTCTGAATCACAGGAGGTCTGTGCCATGTGTCTGTTGCTCATTTCACTTTTTGTCACCCAGTCTGGCTGTTACTGAAGGCCCACCCACCCCACTTTTCCCTCTAACATGCCAAATCTAAATTCCTGGAGCCACCATGTGGGTCTTGAGTGCCCCTGGACAGGAGAAGCACTTTGGTCACACAGGGACTTTGTGGCTCTTCCCCTGCACTCTGCAATTTCCCCAAGTGCAGAGTCCTGCTGCCCCCACCCCTACTCGTGCCCACAGCTGAGTGCTCATTACAGGTCCTTTCCAACCTAAATGATGCCATGGTTCTATGGAGGAATGTATGTACAGGGATATTTCTTCATGATCCAATCCTGTCTTCAAAGATTTGCAGCTTAGGGAATTCCTAAACTAGAGATAAGAAATTTGATGCATTTCTGTTCCAAGCATTGGTGGCAACAACTTAGGCTTTTGCCACAGGAAGGACACTCTGGATGTTAGACATCCCACAGGCACCTCACCACACTGCATGTCTCATCTCCTTCTGTTTGTTTTGAATTTGCTTCCAATTACTTCATTTCTTATCTCTTGGTTCTGGTAGTGGAATCCACCTTACTATATGTGGTAACCATTTAAAATGTTACCTTACATTGAATTTTTTGTTTAGTCACCTTGTTCTCCAGTCATAACTTACAAGCTTGGTTCCTCCAGTGACTTTTTTCTTGCATATAACTGTAAATTGAATTATTCTTCTTTCATAAATTAAATTTTAGAAAGACTTTGTGGTCAGATGTTTCAAGGCTTGTTGACAAGTGAAGGAGATTAGCATGTCTTTATTAGAAGATCAAGACTGATTTATGACAGTGACCTGTATAAAAGGACACAAAAATAGAACAGTAGATATAAATTCATTATATAATTTTCTTGCAAGATATGGTTGTAAAGAGACTTTAATTTCTGTATGAAGAGGTCTTGTCTGTTGTTCAAAGTGATGTCTAAACTAGCTATAATCAAATGAAGCTGAAGAAAAACATTCTTTAAATTGGTTAAAAGAAGCAGACAGATCAGAGGGGCTGTTGCTGCTGATGCTCCCTTAGCGTTTGCTAGCCTTCTGGAGGCTGGGGAAATGGTAGAAGTTTATTAATGTTTTGCAAGAGGTCTTTGAAAGGGAAGGAAGGAAGGAACTTTGAACTGTGGAAGGAAGTGCTCCCCTCTCTCCTACTTGCTGTTTTCAGCTGATTTACTTGAAATATTTCCAGCCTGATTCTGTTCTTCAGAAGGTTGTAGCTCATGATTCCTCAGCAGTGGCTGCAAACCTGTTTCACTGGTAGATGCAGGCTGAGCTTCCATGAAGTGGAATTTGGGGAGCTGGGTGCTGCAGGTGAGGCCGTGGTGCCACCTGCTGACTGCAGCACCCACACCTGGCATGGCTTTGTGTCTTTGCTTGGTGGCATCCCCCAGGCCTTGCAGGGTCCCAGTGGAACAGTGACAAAACTGCAGCTGCCCCGGTGCTGGCTGTGTGGTGTGAGGGCTGTGCTGGCACGGGGCAGGGGAGGCAGCAGAGCTGACTGATGGAGCTGATGGAGGAGGCACGTGGGGAGGGCAGCTGAGATACCAGACTTTGCCTTTCTGCTCTGCCACTGCCCACTCTGAGCTCAGAAATTTAACTCAGCATGAACCTGCAGGCAGGAAACAGGTTTGGGGTGTTTCTGTGGAGACCAGGGACCAGGGAAGGCTGGGATGGTGGCAGCTGCTGCCTGGAGATAGTGCTCCCAGGATTTGGAAGGCTCCAGCTCAGCCCAGGGGTGCTGTAGCCAGAAGAGGGTGCAGTGTCTCTGTGTTATGTTCCAGCACTCACCTCCAGGGTCAGTTATCCCAGGTTTCACTACCCTGAGATCTGTGTAGAAGATCAATTCTAGCAGTCTCAAACCAAAATGCACAGTGACTTTTTAAAAAGTTACTTGTCAATGTTGCCTACTTGTAATGAGTTGTGGGCTTTTCCAGCTGTTTTTAAGTAAGTGGAGAACTCCATTGTGTTCACTTTCTCTGTGGATGCAGAGAACTCTCTGGACTGTGAGTTCAGCTGTGGGATGTTGCTGGTTCTGGGGTACGTGCAGCAGTGCACACCTGTGTCATCTGCACAAATTTCCATGTGTGCCTCATTGCCAGAGCACAGGCTCGAGCATCATGCCAGGCACCCAGAGCCTGAGTGCTTGAGTTACAGGTTTAACTCCAGAGTGAATGTCTAAGGATGTACTCACATCAGTATATAAACATATTAATTCATGTAAGCTGCCATAATTCTGGCTTGAATTGGATTAAAGGACTGGACTTGTTTAATATTGTTTACTTTGACAATAACTTACTCCAAAATAGCTCACAGTGCAGAGTCTCAAAGTTGTTATTCTTAACCATGACGCAGACTTTTCAGAGACTGGGGATCTGCTGAGATCTTCACACTAGCAAAAAAATAAACATTAGGACTCCTGTTAAGCTGTGCTGTATAAACAAGTAATAGAATAAATGAAGTGAGACAAAATAGTAGCATCCACATGAAATGTGAACAGGGTATTGTAGGAAATAATTCTCATACTTGAAGTGCTGCTGTAACTGAGATTTTTCAATTAATAAATGTTTTGTCGGGCTGTCTTTAGAGTCATGTGCATGAGGGGATTTAAGTGAACCCAAAGACAGAAAAAGCTGTATGTCAGACTGCAGGGTTTTTGCAGGATGTAGATTTTTTTTCAAAGGCTATATATTGAGCTTTGTGTGCATTGTATCCTGTTTTTTTAAATATCGATCAAGCTAAAAACAGATTTAATGCATGTGAAAATGGAAGATGGAAATGTGAAGGTATCCTTCACTCTGATCCAGTGTTGGTCTACTCCATAAAAAGCAGGAAGTCTTAAATACATAATCAAGACCTTGATGGGTCACACTTTCTATCAGAGTCCATAATTTATAACACACTTTTTGCATCACGAAGGTGAGTGGAGAATTGGATGATGTCTGTACACACTCAGGTTTTTTCTTTTCAATGTGGATGGTTGGAAATATTTAATACAGCCCAAACTGACTTCAGGATTCTTTGCAAGATCTGCTGGTGTATGGCCACTGCTGCCTTCCCCTGGTGGTCTGTAAGTGGGGTAGGATTTCTTCCTTCTTCTCATGATTCAAGAAAGAACTATGAAAATGTGCAGGTAGTAAGGGGGATAAAAGTGAGAGAGAATTTTCAGAAGCAGTACTTCGGTAAAATATCCTTTACAATGTTCTTTTTGCTACTGGCACATCATGGAAATAAGGAAGAGCTTTCAGCAGCATATAACTAGTGAACTAAATAGTCTTGTAACATAGTATATGAAATTAGCAACATTCTTCCAGTGTGCAGGAATTTCATTAAAAGCAAGTGCTTATGCAAATGTAATGAGAACACTGATTGATAGCACTGTCAGATGAGAGGAACATGGATTTTCATTCATTTCCAAGCTTCCTTTCTCAGCTAGGGTGATCTTGAGGTGACGTGTCTGGAATATGTTGGCTGTGTATCACATTTTTATTTACTTCCCACTTGGAAATAAAGCAGTTACCCCCATCCCACTCGTTAACTACAGCAGTGTGGACGGATCATTTTGTTTGTCTCACTTTAAGACTGAAAGAAATGAGGATTCCTTCCCTTCTATTTTTAAATTGGTGGAAGCCTGTTCCAGTTTCAGAGCCATCACTTCTGCCCCTGGTTGCAGCAGGACTTGCCTTCCCCCTGCTCCTCTTGGACTCGGTTTGAGTGGAGCCATCCCAGGGAAGTACGCAAGCGTTCTGTTCCAAGGACTGTTTTCAGATTCCTGAAGATTGTGAATTTTTGGTCATGGTGTTTTTTCCATACTGTTCAAACAGCAGGCACAACCCACATTAAGCTGGAGCTTAGTCAAATTCTGATGAAACGTGACCCCTTGCCCTTCCTGTCTTTGTTCCTTCCTAGTTTTAACGGCTAAAGCTGCTGTGAGTGTTCCTGAAAAGTGCTGCCTGTTTTTTAAAGCATACATGTTGAGAAAGCCTGAGGATGAATTTTCACAAGCAGCTACAGAAACTTTGATACTGTGCTTTGGTGATGCACAGTAGGAAAATGCTTGGGTCTCACCCTGTGGGTTTAGGTTTTTCTGTTTAAACCCCAAAACCCAGAGAATCTAGTACAGATAAACTCCTGATTTGAGTCTTTTTCCCTTCCTTAACCTGGTCCTATAGTTAGAACTTAAATAAAATAAAAAAAAAAAAAATCCAGTCTTCCTTCCTGCATTTCTCTGCTGCTTACTCAGTTTTCAGAATTCTAGGTCACTTGCTGCTAAAAAGCAATGAAAATACTGTGCCCTCCTTCTATGGTAAGGGAAGGAAGCTAATGAAATATGGTGTAAGTTGTTTTGATGTGTGAGAGTTTCTGAACCAGTGTAGAGAACTTCTCCTTTTCTCTCCTTAGTTCATCCGTCCTCCTCTGTGACAGCTACAAACCGTTTCCTTGCTTTGCGCAGAATGTTAATCCTTCAATGTACAGCACAGACAAAATAATGGACAGCCAATCCTTTCATTTGCCCTTTAAAAATTGATTTCTGTCTCCAAGATAATTGATATGGAGCAGCATCTCCTTCAGTGCCAGAAGAGCGGTTTACTTCTGAATCAGGTGTTCAGATGATGCAGAATTTTCTAAAGATCAGCAGTATCTGGGAGGGCATTTTCTAACTTTTTTCTTCAAATTAAACTGGTATGGCCATGAAAATATATGGGATGGTTTTTAAATGTTTCTCAGATCTTCATGTTCTCTGTAAATTATTTAATAAAAAGTGTAGGAACAGTCCCCTAAAATGGCCTTGATTTGTACATGTCAGGGTCTGTATATGGTAACTGTGACAGCATCTGCAAAGCTGCAGGAGCATTTTGTAGGAATTTGTTTCAAAACCACAGAGGATGCTGATAACTCTTGCAACCTCTTTATAAACCAGCATCCCATGTGGATGAGGAGTACATCCCCACCTGTTTTCCAAAGGCTTTAACAAGGAAAACTGCTTTTCACTTGTTGGAAAGATCAGGCTGATGTATTGTTGAAATGAGCCTGAGCTTACAGTGAACACAGGGGAGCTGTAGGATTACTGTAGGAGCTGGAAAGGGATTGAAAAGAGCCTGATATGAGATTGGAAAGGTCTGTGGCAATTCCAGATAATGGACATTTCTTTTCCAAATTCCATTACCACTTTGATTTCCAGTCTTCTGTCCCTTGTTTGAAATTAAGCATTGCCAAGTGCTGCAGTCTTCATAGCAGGCAAGGATTTGTTGTCCCTGATAAAGCACTATTAAAGAAGTTGAAGAATTATATGGGGGAGACACTGTTTAATAGTAAGGTTCTGCTATAGCAATTTGTTTTTTTCCCTTACTATGGATCATTAAAACTTATATGTGTTTATTTTAAAGACAGTTTAAAGACTGTTTTTAAGACAAAGCTGCCTAAAATTTTCTCTGTAGGGAAGATTGACTGGCATAGCTGTTGTTGGCTGTCTAACATGCCTGTTCTCTTCCAGAAGGTCACACTATGTGGCTGCAAGAAGAATTTATTATAGGTAGATTACACAGATGAGTGGAGCAATTCTGAAATTGAGCAACTTCAGGATACAGCAGTACTAGCTGCTTTTTCTGGCTGGGAGAAATCAGGACTATCCCAAACTATAATGTTGCCTTTACATCACAAATTAATATGTACACTCTGCTTTTGAGTCAAAGATTACAGCTGCAAAAAGACTCAGGATTATTTTTTTTAAAATGTGCTCACTAAAAATCAAATCCTGTTTTTCAATTGTTATTTTTACAGGTGGATTTATCTAAATGACCAGAACCTATGTATCCCAACTAGCTCTTCTTTTGTGTATGGAGCTGTGCCCATCGGAGCCAGCATATATGTGATTGGAGATCTCGATACAGGTCAGAACCAGGGCTAAAAACCTCGTTATGCACATTTCCTTCCCATATTTTAAATACTTGGTACTGATGAGACTGAACATTTTTAAGAGGCTGGGACACTGTTCTGTCACTGTGGGTCAGGGGGATTATGCTGGACATACAGAAACACACAGGTTGGTTTTGGACCTTCAGTAACAAGTTCAGTGCCATGAGCATTGGCTTGATTTGGTTGATTAGTTTGAAGACCACAAGAGATCAAGACTAAGAGTGTCTTACTGCTTTTATCTAAATGTAAGAAGACCTGTTAGTGCCTGAGGTGTAGCTCCTCCTGTCTTTGCAGTGGGAAACAGGCAATTCTGCATCCTAGGGACATTGTCTAGTGGTTCACAAGGATGTGACAGTGACTCTTGGCTCTCAATCCCAACTAAATAGATGTGTGCTATCATACATACTCAGTTTACAGCTGCCAGCATCTGGCCACGCTCTGTAAAAGAGATTTGGAAGACTTTTGTGACCATGTGTACATATATGATTGTGTAGCAGGGCTTTCTTCAAAATACAAGCAAACAAAATTCCAAATTTGTTGGGTTTAAGTAGATCAGAAATGTCACAGTAGTTCCTTTTTGATGACAATTTCAACCACCCACCCAGACACCGATTTGCGTTCCTGTGTCTGCTCTCATTCACGTATTTGCCTTACTAGAGGTTAAACGTGGTTAAGCTGCAGTGAGTTTTAAGCATTTCATCTCTCTTTTTCATTAATTCAGGTACAAACTATGACTATGTTAGGGAATTTAAGAGAAGCACGGGCACCTGGCAGCGCACCAAGCCGCTGTTCCCCTCGGACCTGCGCCGGACGGGCTGCGCAGCGCTGCGGATCGCCAACTGCAAACTCTTCCGGCTGCAGCTGCAGCAGGGATTGTTCCGCATCCGCGTACCTTCTCCGTGACCCGAGTGCTGCCAGGGGACGAGACTGGAAGGGTTCTGTGCAGTCCACCATAATCTAGCTCTATTTAAAGGAAAAGCTGAGAAATTACAGCTGAAAATTACACTGTATGCTGTGCTTTGGTATGGTAACTGTTTTTGTTTTAAATGCTTACAAAGCTTGAGTCTCAGTACTTGTTTCGGGAACAAATAACTTAAGTACACATTAAAGAGGAGAGAAGGGGGAAAATAAAAGGGGAGGTCAAGGAAACACCTTCAGTCGTAACCATTTGGAGTTTAAACCTTGCTATTGAAGGAGGATTTTGTGTGTGAAACTGGTGGGAATCGGTTTACTTTGGCAAAGCTTATTGAAAAGCAAAAAAAAAAAAAGAGCTTTCAGGTGCGTTTCCCCTGCGGGGAACTGATACAAATCCATGTGCTATCTGGAACTGGATAGCTGTAATACACAGAAGCTACACGATAACCAACCTCCCTGGTGTGCTGCTGTTGGAGCATGAGGCCACAGGGGGTGTTGGTCGTTGCACCTTTTATTTCTAGTCCTTTCTCAAAAGATAAGGTCTGTGCCTAAAAATGGTGGAGGTGTGTACATACGGTTTTTCATTCATTTGCAATGGTTTCATTCTGACAAATATTTTTAATATATATAAAATGGACTAATCTGAAATGGATACAGCCCGGAAAATGGATACAGTACACCACAAAGAAGTAAACAGTTTTTTCCTACGCTGTCATTCGAGTAGCCTGATGAACTGGTCTGCAGGTGGGTGGTGTGTGCTTTTGGGTGGGCTTTGGTGGCTGTTTTCCTTGAAGTGAAAAGGGAAGACATGTTTGGAACAGTTAGTGATGATTGCTGCTTTTGGTAAGAGCAAAAGGACAAACTAAATAGATTGTGTTCCTTTTTACTTCAGATTGCTTGCAAGCTAAGAATGGTTTTTAAGACTGAGGATTGTAAAAAGGTGTATTTTATGTCTCTTAGAACAAAGGTGAAATATGACAAGGATATATTTATTTTGTAGAAAACATGGGGTTTGGACTAAGAGTTAAGGAAAATTTGTACAGTGACTTTAAACTGGGATCAAAAGTTGGTTTACTAATGATTTCTGTGCTACAGTACAGTCTTGTTTACTGCTGTCTGAAAGCTGGGTTTTATGGTGTGGTTATAGTGAAGAACTTAGTATCTTGCATTTTATTTCTTACAAAGCCTTGTTCACATCAGTAGTGATATTTAATTGACTTTTGTTTGTAGTCAAGATCAGCTGGTAGAACAGTTTTACCTCAATTTTTGATTTCTTTGTTATTGTGATGGATGGGACATAACCTGTATTTATTTAAAAGGAATAAAATGGGAGAGACTGAAAATAGAAATAATACCTCCTGCCCTTCAGAAAAAGAGACTTTGTACAACCAGTATTACAACTACACACAAGACTTTCCACTCTGCAACTCTGTGGACCTCACACAAGCCAAACTCTGCCCTCAGTTGTGTTGCTGTAAACCTTCTTCATCTTTATTGAAATCATCTTACATACGTTGAAAAATCATCCCAAACTAGTTCAAAATATTGGTATTTCACTAAATAGTCCTTGAAGAGCCATTCTGAAATTTACTTACTGTAAACCTTCTTCATCTTTATGGAAATCATCTTATGTTGAAATATCATCCCAATCTAGGTCAAAATATTGGTATTTCACTAAATAGTCCTTGAAGAGCCATTCTGAAATTTACTTCTGCTCAGTCCTTCCATAGCACTGATGTGGGGTTGGAATGACTGATTCCTCAGCAGAGGAGTATGGGAGGGTGGGGAAAAGGGCAGCAGCCAATCCATTGACCTATTTTTATTTTTATAATGCTGAAGTGCTGCAAAACTTGAACTATATACATTGATTTTCTGACCTATATTAGCTGGCATATTAAAAAGTTTATATATTTATGCATTGCAGTAAACTTGGTGTGTGTATATATATATGTCTTTAGATTTTAAATTTATATATAATGCTTTACTACAGAAATGTGAACCACTATTTCCATCCTTGGCTGGCTCGTGAAATAAATCAAGTGCTGTTAGTTTATCTGTTAAATTTCCCTTTTTTGAAAAATCTTACATGGATCAATTTTTTTTTCCTCAGACAAAGTGCCAAGATCCCATATTCAAAAGTGATGAATGTTCCTAAGTATCTGTTTCACTTTGAGCTCAGTTTTCTAAGTGGCTTGGAAAACTTCCGAAAATGTTATTCAGAATATTGCCAGCTGCTATCTCCCGAGTCCCTGTAGCTTCCCAGTACACTGAGGGCATTCAGCATCCAGAAAACGTAAGTGATAAATGCACGTGATAAATCCAAGTAAATACTCTAGCAGTGTTTTGCAGTTCAAGTTACTGAACCAAATGTTTACACTTAGAGTAGGATTAACACTAGGTGTTCTTAGTGTGGTTTTTTTTTTTTTTAAAGAAAACATAAATAAAACAAACAAATCTGCTGGTGATTGGAGTGTGTTGTGAATGCACTCAGTGAGATTTGACCAAGAAGTTTAAGCCTCTGTACCTGAACCAGTCACAAATTGAATTTCTGAGCACATTGTACTCGTGTCATTTTCCATGTGGCTGGGGACCAAGTCTCCAGGGATGCTCTCCAGGGGTTTTGGGCGTGTGCTCAGATTTAGGCACTCCTGAGATCTCAAAACTGGCTTCCTTGGCCTTGCCTAAGGGAATGGGACCATTCCCCATCTGCACTCTTTGTGGGACTGATCCAAGAGCTGTTCTAGCCTCTGTGTGTGCAGGAGGGAAGGGATGTGTCTTCCTGTCTGTCTGTCTGTCTGTCCAGCTCTGAACTGTGAGTGCACCCCTTGGATTGTGCAATAACCAGGTTCCATTTCCCTCTGAATTTGGAGCGAGGCGCTGAAGCCGAGGCTCCCCTTTCTGCAGGGATTGTACCAGTGGTGGTGTAGGAGTGAAGAGGCAGAGCTCACCTCTGACTTCTCTTTCTCTTTTCCAAGGGGTGGTTGACTTCAGAAGGGGAGGGAGGCTGTGACAGTACCAGAGGTGCTGAGAGCAGGGAGGTCACCAGTTTGCTGAGTGTTGAATGTGCAAAGAGCTGTAGATTGAACTGGCTTCACTGGTAAATGCCACCACTCAGCTGTCCCTGCTCTCCTGGCACTGTGTACCCCTGCACATGATGGCTGAGCCCCATGGGAAACAACTCAGGAGTTTTTCTGAGTTGCAGTCCAGGGGTTTTAAGTGGTTTGGCAGTTTAAAACTTGTTTAAGTTGTCCTTGCTAAGCACAATGGCCTTAATTCCTCCCAGGTCATGCGTTGGCACTGACATTCAGCCAGGTCCTCCACAGGTGACTGTTTGAATGTGTGTCCTGGCCAGATGTCCATGCAGGATGAGAACTGGCTGGGCCACCTTGAGCTTGAGGCACTTGGACTGGGCCTCTGCATCTGTTTTCCTTTCCCTGGTGAGGAATTGGACCAACCCCAGCTACTGAAATCAGAAAATCACCAAATACAGGGTAGGAACTGTGGAAGATGGGACGAGCAGTGGCTTTTTTCTCCCCTTTCTCCATCCCTTTCCACAATTCCCCCAAGAAAAGTTTCTTCCTTTTTTTCAAGTGCCACAGATAATTTTGGAAAAATTTTGGAATTGTCAATTTTAGGGGAAAAGTGGGGAAAAAATATATGCTACTGTAAGCACACAGCAGTGTCCTCTGTGCTTGTTTTACACTTGTAGCCTTGTGGCTGCTCTGCACAGCAGACAGAGATTACAGAAGTAGAGGTGTAAAGTGCTTTTGCTCTCATAAAATAAATCCCTTGAGTTTCTGAGGAAGGAACATGCCTGGCCTGGCTCTGTTCCTTACCTGGCCTTGACAGATGCTCATATTCCTAAAGAGTCAGGGTTGAACTTCAGATCCTCTCCCTTGCTGGTTTTATAACTTGAAGAAGAGGCATCCTGAAGAGTCTTCCGTTTTGTTGTACCATAGCAAGGTCTAGTTGTCCTTAAATATTTTGTCAGCTAATCCTTAAATTTTAGTTATTGTGAAGGTGCTGTGTCAGCCCAGCTGCTTCTGGTCAAGTGAATTTCTGTAGCTTTGAGGGTACTTCATCTTTAAATTGAAGGCAAATTAATACAAAATTACACAAAAGGACAGAAGTGATTCTGAAACCAGAAGCTGAAAATCAGCAAACTGATAGCTGTGAGCAAGCTGTGTCCCTGGTGTTTGCACAGCACGTGCCTGGCACACAGCCTGCCTTCAGGAGCAGAGATCTTGATGAAAATAAGGTTTTTATCAGAGCTACTGAACTGCCTGGCTTATGAACTCCCCCTCCAGAACACACCAGGCAGCTCGGTTGCTTTGCAATATTTCTGGTGCCTGCATGACTCAGTAAATGCACAAGTACAGGACTGAGGGGTCTGGGGAGGTTTTCCCCTGTTTTAACTGCAGTTTCTCTGTTTGTTCCATAAATGCTGTGCAGGGGCTCTGCTACCATGCATGTGCCATGCAGAGTGGAGGATGCAATAACAAATCCAAATTGTTACAAGTGCCAAACTTTTGGGTTCTTCTGTGTATAACAATAATTCAACTGTTCTACTAAAATACAGATATGCTTAAAATTCACTGTGTTCCAAAAAAGAGCAGTGGTTCTTTTTTTAAAAATGAATGCTATTGAAAGCAATGTAAATCTGCTTTTTTTTAATACTGTTCTGCAGGTTTGTGTTACTCTTCACAGCTGCCTTGAGTATCACTCCATGTGATGCACAATGGACACTTTGCTCTTTACTTTTACCAGAGCACTGGTGCCATGCAAGTATGTAATAAAAGGCAGCTGACAACAGGCTTTAGTATTTAAAATTATAACTGTTTAGATTAAGTGCAATTTGTTTGCATTTATCGACCTGCAGAATGAAACTGTGCCTCGGGAAATGTGGCTGTGCCCAGGGACACAGGCAGACTGAGCATTGTAACTAAGGTGTGGTTTGGTGCCACTCACAGCAATGCTTTCCAAGGAATTATATTTAATTTAGTGTTAAATGGATCCTTTCTGCCTCTAATTTAGCACTGAGGATTTGGGGGTTGTGTTCTCTTTAGCTCTTTGGAGTACTTAAATGGCTACTTCAGGTGGGTGGGAGGGGTGTTAATTGCATCCGTGTTTGTAGAAGCTGCTATTTCCATCTTCCCAAAGGAGTATTTCCTTTTCCCGTTCAGGACTGAATACAGGCCTGGGTTTCAGTCGTCACTGCTGCAGCCTTTTGACATTTGCCATTTTCTGATGCTCTTCCTTGTTTTTTCTTGGAGCTGTGTTTCCAGGGCACATGGTCTGTGAGAGAAAAGCACAGGGCTTGGGAAGGTGAGCCAGTAAAAGCTAAAGGCAGTGGGGTTTGGGGGACACTGCTCATTTTCTGTGGGGGTCACCTCTGTGTGCTCTCAAGTTTATTAATAAGTTTGGCTCCTGCTCTCCTTCATCCCTGTGGTTTTTTTTCTTTTTTCTTTTTTTTTTTTTTCCCTGGGAAATCCCTTGCTGTAGGAAGGATTGCAGCCAGGATTTAAGGTGACAGCTCTGACCAGTCATGCCCAGTGTGACACTGCTGCTGTGCTCCAGCAATTAATTCTCAAAAAATTTTGATTAATAAGTTACCTAAAAACATAGACTAAAGCCATCCAGCTAGATGAACACCTGGTCAAAAGGATTAAGGGTAACAAAAGAATTAAACTATGAGCTACTACCAATAGATGAGTATATTGAAAAAATTATTGGTGATACAAAATCTGAATAATGTTTTTTAAAATTACTTATTCTAGGTAGCTGCTTTTTAGTTATAAAAGTATTTGCAAGACATAAAGGACTTGTATAGAATAATATTTGGAGGTTATTTGAAACAATCTATTGAAGTGTCTTGAAAAGTGAGCTGGAAGATTTGAGCTTTTCAATGGAAAAAGGTTAAATCTTGATGTCCAGCAGTTCTGCAGGGTTTCTGTGAGCAGAGTGCACCTGCCAGAGCACTTCAGTACACGAAGCTGCTCAATGCCACTGCCTACCTGTGCCCTTGAATTTGCATAATGAAATGAGGCTGTTCTGAGCCCTGGTAAAAGCTGACAGGTCTGATTACAACAATAGAAAGAAGAATCCCCTGTGTGTAATTAGTGTTATTTTATTGATAAAACATGAATTAATTTTTTTTTAATACTGGGGCTTTTTTAATTACCACCTTAGGCACTTATTTAATTTTTTTCAAATTTGACTTTCCTCCATTTCTTTTGAGTGAATGCTGAGACAACCTCAGTTTTTGTCGAGGGCAAGTTTCTTTCATCTGTAGTTCTAAAACCTGTCAGAGCCTGACCGACCTCCTGCCACCGGCTGTGCACTTGTTTCACAAGTGTCATTTCTGTGCATTCTGTTACTGGGCTGCCAATTTCAGAACAGAAAAAACCCCCTGGGGAAAAAATTTGTACCTGATGAATGCAAAAGCCATTTTGGAAAGTTGAAATTTCCATCTGCAATAGGTAGCATGCTACAAAAACCTGGTACTTGGCTGGGCTAGAGGATCTCTCCTGAACAACCTCACATGCAAAAGCTTTGGGTTTTATTAATCTGCTTTATGAATTTACACATGATAGCAGGAAAGCATTATCATCCCTGTCACTTCTTTCTCTGGTTTTAGGCCTTAAAAAGCAAAGCCTGCTTATTTATTAGAGTGAATAAAGCAGTGTACAGGAGTATCTGCTGAGGTGATCAAGGTAAGCATAGCTGCCATTCTGTAAGCTCTTGCTATAGTTTCTTTCTGAGGGGAAGCCAGGGATTGCCCTCTTAAGAAATACTTTCAAACCCTTTCAGAGCTGGTCTTAAACTAGTCCAAAGGACTCCTGCCTCCTTTGGGTTGCTTAGAGAACATGAAGTCTATTCTAGCTTTTGTTTGCTTGGGGAAACACCTGCTAAGTCAATTTTAACCTTTTTCTTTTTTTTTTTTTAAATCCTTGACTTCCAAAACCTGAGTGGTTTGCTTTTTGCAATTGAAACATGTTTGTATTTAAGGGTCTGAGACTGCATTTTGCAATGCATGGTGAGTGTTCTGTCCTATCTTGGTTACATGATGTAAACAGCAAGCTGTGTTCTGGGGGGCTCCTGGAAGCTCCTTTACAGTGCTGAGGGGTGGAGAAGGTTCAGAACAAGATTTTCCTTACACTGCACAAGCCTTGCTGTGAGTCAGATGGGGCAGGAGGCTGGGTTTGGTACAGAACTCATGGAATTGCCACCACTGACTGCCCTCACTGTTTGGACCCCCAAAGCCCATCAGGGGCAGGTCCTGGGTGTTCCATGCACGATCTTTGCTCTGGCCTCAGGTGTTTTCTCTTTTGCTGTTATTAACAGGATTTTGCTTTCACTCTCCCTCTGAACACACACTGTGCCCATGGGCCTGGGAGCACAACTCCTGTGGGTCAGAGGGTGGCCACACCAACTTGCTCCCCGTGGCTTTTGCACATCTCTGCACATCAGTGTGTGTGGGGACAGTGCTTAATACACAATGAAATGACTTTTCATGGAGCTTGTAAAACTGATGCCAGCAGGTCAGAGATCACCTGAACACCTGTAAGCAAAGCTGCAGGTAGATCAGGTGTAGCCCAGTCCCTCGTGTGTGTCACTATGGCTGGAAGCCTGGCACCTTGTCCTGGGGGGAAAGCCCCTATTCCCAGCTACCTCATTTTTTCTTTCTTTGCACTTTGTCAAATATTTTTTATTTTGTTTTGTTTTAAATCACATTTTGTCCTTCAATTTAAAAAAATCTAAAAGCAGACAAGAAGCAGGACAGAATGGTACCATTGCCCAAGGACAGTTTAATTTCATTTTAAATTAATGTTTCTGTACAAAAAGACCAAGGTTGACCTGCAGCTGCTGTAAAAAGTAAATAAAAATTTCTATTACTTGATAGCAACTATTATACTTGGAAATAAGAGTGGCAATTGAAAGGCTGTCCTGATGATATTTAAATAGGAAGAGATCTGTTTAAAAAATAGAAGTCTGTTCTTTTAAGGACAGATCAGATAGTTATCTCTCTGCCTATACTCTGCTCTCACTGTTTTGCCTGTGAACTTGATACATTATCTCAATAGAGAGAATCACTGATTTTTCTGTCATGTCTAATTAGATATTTTTCTGTGGAGTTCCCCATTTAATCACCTGCAGAGGAAAAACTGTTCAAATCAATACCTGCCTTCCATACCTGAACTTATGTCATTGACCATTTCTTTGTGATCTTCAGGTATGTGGGGTTTTGCTTAGATTGAAAAAGTTTTTTAAAAAGTGTCTTTTCTTCTGCTTCTAAAGGTGCTATTTTGACATAGTTTTGAATTCCTTACACTGTGCTTGACTCCTAAAAGTACCAATATAAGCTGGTAGTCAGCTTGTGTTTGTTCTGTGGAGTTTTTCTTTGAGTATTCAATCTGTATTTTGAAAAGCATCCCTTTTCATAAAGATGGCTTCCAAACTGTCAAAGGCCTTAATAATACAAAATATAATGGAAAATGCTACCTTTTTCCTTTCTTTATAAAGGCATAACCAAGAAATGCTTCATAGAAAACATCTTCCTCTAAAATTTTGAGGAGCAGCTCATACTAACTTTGAATTCAATGTAGCAAACATTTTAGTGGCCATGCACAAATAGTAGGGGAGAAACAAGGAGCTATTCATAACTCTGCAGACTGTATACCAATTAGCTGCTAATTCCAGAGCCTTCCATTAACATCATGGTGGCTATTCCATAAATATTAATCTTCCCAGGCTTGGTCCCAGGACGTGGCTGTGTGTCTGGGACATGCTGACCCATGCGGCTGGCAGATCCCTGGGCTGTTTGGCCCGGTGTGGGGTTTGTCTCAGACCCCTCCTGCTCAGCCCTGCAGGGTTTGGGTGCCACAGGTGCTCAGGAGGAAGGAGGAGGGGAGCTCCAAGTGCTGCCATTGCAGTGACATTGGCTTGGGCACCCCGAGGAGAGGCTCTTGTAGACACAAGCCATGGAGGAGAGAGCTGAATTTTAGTCCTGCACAGGAACTTTGTTGTCCTTTTTATGCTGTCTTTATTTTTGTCTGATCCGTATTATCAGGTTGGTTTAGGCATTTGGTTAACACTGCTACAGGAAGGTTTTTCTTTCTCTGAAGGACATAAAGTCCTACTCCTGCCCTGTCTGAGGAAGCAGGAAGGATCAAGCATTGATGTTTGAATTTGTCCCATCTCCACGCAGCAGGTTATTTATTGCCTTCTTGTAGGCTCTGCAGTCCCAGTGCTGTAGCATTTCTCAGCTGTGTTACTCTAAGAGCCCTTTAGCCTTTTGAAAAGAGTCAGAGACTGCCTTGTCCTTCCCCTCCTTCACACGCTGGGTGCTGCCCTCCGACCATCCGAACTCATCCAGGCTGTCACTGCAGAGGAGCCACCGGTTGGTGGCCTCACAGGAGTGTCTGTGTTACCTGCACAGCTGAAAAACAGCTGATAAATGAGGGGCCTTGGAGAAGCTCTACTGAGCTTGCAAATTCCTAATCCTCTCATTCTAGGGAAGGCTGAGGAGCAGAATCATTCCTTGCCTTGCAGCTGCTCTCTGCTGCACAGGTAAGGATGAGTCCACACTGTCCCTTACATAAGGGTCAGTATAAAGATCTATGGGCTGTTCTAGGACATCCACTATTTTGCATTTGTTGTATTTACATCTGAAACTTCTGGAGCTATGGAACTGTGGGTCCTGGAACTATGTCTGTAGTGTACAACCACGGGTACTGGTCTAAAGAGCTGGGGAGGTTCTGGCCACCTGTTTTTCCACTGCACTTTTTTCTTTTTTTGAGAAACCAGAGATGTGAAACTGCATCCCAGTTAGTATGCCCACTACTTCATAATCCAGAGTGGGGTCCTGGTAAGCTGGAATTGTTTTACTTTTACCTTCAGAAGGAAAAACTAAAATTTCTTCACATTAGATGCTGTATCTTCAGAGTTTTCCCTCAGTAAACCATATTTATTGAGTCCCATGAATCTTGTGGGATTGGGTTAAAGAATATGAATATGTATTATAAGAATGATAACTAGTGTACTTAGTCTGACTTTGTACAGTACAAATAGCCTCTTATATCTTAAGAGAATGAAACAACTATTGAATAATCCAATTGTGATATCTGTATTCCATTAACCAAGTAATAGGAGGGTGTTGGAATGTGATGTCACATTGCTGCCCCTCTCCTAAAGGTTCAGTGTTCTGTCAAATCTAAGATCTTGATAATTACCAGGATATTGTCAGAATATATTGCTGCCTTTTCTACAAAAGGCACATTGGTATGGTGAGGTAAAAGCACTCACCTGTTCTTTACCATCTGTGGTGTGCAGCTGGACAGCAAGGGTTATCCCCATCATCCAGCTGTCAAGCTGACTCCTGTATTACAGATGTGGTTACTGTTACAGGCTCTTTATGTATGTACGTGTTCTGTGGGTCCTTCTGTGCTTTCTGTGGGAATGGAGTTTTAGCTTTTATGTGTCCACCCCAAAATCTTTAGAAATTAATTGATTAATCACTTGAGGACAGGGTTTGGAGTGCTCTGATTGGAGTATGTTGATTTACTTCTGTTTAAAACAGGGAAAAATAAGACATAAATGCTCTTTGACCTCAATCAAACTATGCAATACAGCACACCAGAGAGCTGATTTCCTTGTGATACAGAAGTGCAGCTCCTGTGTCCTTCCAAACCCAGTCCTTGGTCCAAGGTTAGGAGAGCTTGTACTCAATGGCTGCCCAAGAATCTCATAGCCAGATCAACTCTAGTTCACTGCTTTTGCTCCTGCCCTCTGGCCTGGCCCAGCAGTTTAGCTGGGTCAGGTTGTTGGGTGTTTTGGCTTGGAATGATGCAGCCAGATCAACTCTAGCTCACTGCTTTTGCTCCTGCCCCTTGCCTGGCCCAGCAGTTTAGCTGGGTCAGGTTGTTGGGTGTTTTGGCTTGGAATGATGTGGTCTCCATGTGTGTCCCTCCTGTTGTCCCATGGTGTTGTCAGCTGGAGCTTGTCCTGTAACCCCACCAGTGTGGCTTTACCCTCTGGGGCCACTTCACCACGTTTGCACTTCCCTGCCCTCCAGCATGTCAGGTGTTTGGGGTTTGCTGTGCCCCCTGGGTTGGTGTTGTCTTGCTTTCCCTGTGTCAGTCAGTCGTGGATCTGGTGCTTACAGTAAAGAATCCCTGTGACGTCTCCAGTCAGTCCAAGTACGTTTTCATTTCTGCTGCTTCGGTGTGAGTTTGATTTTTTTGCTTCTGTGGCAATTCAGCGATAAATGCCCTTGTGGTCAGGACTGCTGGTAAAGGTTCTTTGTTCTCCCATTGCTTCATTTTTCCAATTAAATTTGTTCCTTGTGTTCCTCTTCTTCCCCCTGTTACAAAACGGGTACAGTTTTTCCTGGTTCTGCCTCCTGTGAGGAGCTCTCCTCTCCCAGGTGATCCTGAATTCTTCATTCACTTAACCCACCCTGGACCTCATACACTTTCTGCCTCCTAACTCCCTTTACTATTTTGTCTCTCTTTAATTCAGATTGACCTCCATTTCCTTCTCTGTTTCCAAGCAGGGATTTTGGTGCATAGCCTGGGAGACAAGCAGGAAAGCTCCTTCTGTGTACATCCATTCCCTCCCCAGCACACGCAGTGTAAGGGGCTCAGCCTGTTCCATTCCTTCCCCCAGGTTTTTCCTAGTGCTAAGCAGACCACAGGCTGAAGCCATTTCTTATTTCTTTTGGTAACTGAAAATATTAGGAGATTTTCTTCTTCAGAAAGAGCCACTGCAAATAAGTAGCTGGCATGAAAGAGGGTTGTTATGCTTCCATATTCAGTATTTTTAATTGAGGAGCAAATAATTTATTTTGGGGGAAAATGTAAATTTTTTTGTATTTGTACGTCAAAGTGGCCTTTATAGGAAAAGCACATAAAATATT